TAGTGTTTATTTTCGATGATACCTAGGCCAAAAATGCCAAATATATGAGGATAAGCATAAACAATTCAGTTACTGGCTAGTAGTTGGTAACCATCTGCAGCAGTACAAGAGATTGTAGGGGTTGAGTTTTGGTAATACTTGAAGATTTAGTAATTTTTAGAGGCTCTCTTGAAATAGCTTCTTTTTGTAGAGTTTAATGCCTTTCTATACTGAGCTTCTTCACATAAGTCATTCTTCTTGTCAAGGCATAGAAATACTTTTGAGAGAAATCAATACTCCCAAATTGTTTCCTAAAATCCTGGATTTCTGCTGCAACCTCAGCTTTTGCTTATTTTCATAAATCCTTGCATCAGAAAGCAGTGTTATGGTGTTTAATTCAGGCTCTTGTTAGGGACTGGAATTTAGTATTGTAAATATTACTCCTTTTGAGGGAGTCAATATCAAATTCTTTATATAAGGATGCATTAAAATTATTATGAAAGCTGTCAGTGGCTTTCTTCTGCAAAATACTGGCATCCAGTTTCCTCAGACTTGTTCTTTAAAACCCATTCTGTTTATGTATTTAGCCATTAAAGAGCTATTCCATGATTATGAAATCCATTTGCAGCAGAATATTTTTCATTTTGGGGGAAAAAGGAGGTCATTTCACCATCTAGAAAATTGCCATGCATTGTTCTGTCCTATATTCTTAATCTCCATTTATATAAACAATTTATTCTCCAATTCATTTTGCATCTGAATCTCTGATTAAGATTGATCCTCAACTGCTTCCCCATTTGTCTCTGCTTTGCACTGATAGGTAACAAGCATTAAGTCAAAATGGCATTCTTCCTAGCTATCTGGGATGTTGAATTTGCTTTAGCTTTAGCTGATAGGAACAGCTGTATTTTCAGGCTACTGAAAAACTGACAGTTCTGCATTGAATTAACATGATTGTATTTCAGTAAATGTTTTCATAGTATGTCAAGCATGTTAATTTCACAAGTAGAAGCCTTAAATACCTAAATATGGTGTTCTCCCAGACAGAGTGGTGTTTAGATTCTATCCTCTGCAGGAGTGGTTCAAGACTGGTTCCATTCTATACAATTCCTTCATTTTACAAACTTATAAAAGTCAGACTTCAGGCAAAGGTGGCAGAGAGTGAAACCTCAGTCTTCACAGGTGGCAATTCCCTCTCTTCTGTCTTTTTCCTTTGGTCCCTTTCAGGGATTTATTTTTTGTTCTTTTTACATTTATATTATTTTTTTTTAGGTATCAGTATACTATTAAAAATAATATTAACAACGGGAAAAAAAGGTGACAAAATTAATTTAAATTCATATGCTGTAAAGCCTGGAGTAAGAGTATGAGGAATACATGATTAGTTAGAAGTGAGGGAGGGAAAGAATTGCCAGTATGGGTCAATTACAGCACGGTTCAATTTACTACTTAGAGGTAATGTACAGCTTGGTAAGTAGCTCAGCTAAGGTTCCAAAAGTCTGTGCAAAGCAGATGTTTATAGTTTGCTCTGCTTTTGTTCTGTGTATTCTAATTTTATTAATCAAATATGGCAGATCAACTGTTTGACTTGTGTTTTCAAAGATGAAGGAACATTCTCTTATATCTCTGAATGAGACCAGTCTGCCTGATACAGTTATGCATGCTGCGAATTTGCTTATACACATGACTTTCATTTGTGTATATGTGTACTTTCAAAAATTCATGCCTAAATGTGAGACTCATTGTAAAGCTGAGGTACATCTGCATCATCCCTTTCAGTGTCATACATCTACAAATGACTTGGTATCTTACAAATAATAGGAAACATTTCATTATCTGTTAACCTTGATTCTTTTAGTGCTTTCTGAAAGAAGATGGATTTTCAGAATTTTTCTGGTAGTCTGTACTCACAGGGAATTTTTTTTTTTCCCCTGCATAACAGTAACTTTTTTCCTCCCTGTTCATATCCATGTTTTAATATATTTGATACCCGAAGAGTATACGAATGGAGCACAAGAGATTAACATGTGTTTGGAGTTAACTGATGTAATAACAAGTACTTTCCTTGTATCTGGCAGCGAGGTGGATTCAATTCATGGTTAAAACATAGGAAGTATTTTCACTTTCTTCATGTGACTTGAAGTCTGCATTCACACAATTACATATGGCTAAACAGTATCCTTTTATACAAGAGTAAATCTGAAGTAATTTCACTCTTCTTATTACTGTAATTTTACACTATCATGACAAAAATAACAATATAGTCAACAGTAATTTGATGGCAATTTTTTAAATTATTTTTTTTAGTACTTTCAAGTTGCAACTGTGAAAAGGACCTGTGTGAAATAACTTTTCTTACAGCTCATCAGTTTGTCTAATACATCCAAGTTAACTTATGCTGGAAAAGAACAGAGAAGTTGGTCTCTTTTACATGGAACGGTGAAGTTTTGCTCTGATTTCTGTGGATTTGGCCATCCCATTTAATGTGTCAAATTTTCAGTTTTCCTGACAGCACTTCCAGCTTCCCTTTCAGCATCTCTCACTGCGTATTGCTTTTATTTTTCTCATCTTTTCCACTTTGGAAAGGTGATAAGACTTAAAATATTGAAATAGAAGAACAATTGTACATATATGTATATAGTTGTAAGTGCATCTTTTTCTGAAGCATTACTTATATAATGTAATGTTTTAGATTTCTACATCTCCCAAGTTTTCATGATAATTTAGTAAGGTTCTGAAGAAAGTTACAGCCACATTGTAATGTTCGCATATTTCCTCCCTTGCACAAGTGCAGACAATAATTTAAGGGGATAAGCATTTCCTGATGTAAAATACTTTCTTCAGTTACTGCTAGTTTAGCTGCACTTTACTTTTTAATCCCTTTTCCCCATTCTCTACATTTAGTTTGAATTGCATTTTTGGAGTGTTTTAGTCAGAATACACAGCCCTTTTTGTTTGCTTGTTTCATACTTCAGTCTGTCTTCTTTTGCTAAATTGGTGAACTTGTGAGTATATCTGTGTGAAAAACCATTGAATAGAAGCTGTGTATTGGCATGAACTCAATGGCTAGACATTACATATAATACCTTTTAATCGCATTTTCTTTCTGGAATTCCCTTTTTTCTTTGTTCTGAATTTGTAAATATAAAAATATGCTTAAGCCCTATTGAGAACTTGAGAAAGTTACTTGACTTACCTGAAAATGGCTTCATGCACATGAATACAAATGCACAACGAGATATCAGCATATCAGTGAAGTCTCTGGAGTATTTCTTTTTTGGTGAAATCATCTTTACCTCTTATTAACTTTTCAGACCTGATGATGCAGCAACTGAACTGCGTTTCGGCCCTTTTAGTGAGTGATAAGTAAATTTTGTAACTAAGTTTCAAATGCAAGTTGCTATTCTTTTTTCTGCTTGGCCAAAGCCATTCAGGCTGTTGGCTTTCAGAGGGTGGATATGACAGCAGAACTTGAAGAGTTTTTCACATTCAGAATGATGTGTGAACTTGAACCCTGCATGACCAATGAGCTTGACAGGGCTAATGCAAAAAGCATTATTTCAGGTCACAAACTGAGTGCCAGAAGTGCTGAATTACACAATAAAATGTCTGTAGATTTTCTTTAGAATATGGAAATTAATAAACAATAGAACAAAATTCTCTGGTAAACTGTGAAGAAGAATTTGATGTGAGTTAATTTGAAATACTTTGAATTATTAACCATACAGTAAAAATATTTTTTTTTAAATCATGTTCCCAGCATAGGTAGGCAAGAGGGTGTTTAACAAAATCAGTGATTAGAAAATTTAGAACAAATGGAAGTAATCACTGTTTTGGCAGTATGCTTTTAAATTATTGAATTCACTGTTTTGTGTCATTAAATAAAATGTCTGTATTTTAGAATAGCTGAGGTAATTTTGTGATCATCAATAGCATCTGCATTTTTGTTAGCCATGGTGAGAGTTACCAGAGCATAGTTCTCATGTGTTATATAACACAGTTGTCCATAGTGAAGTTACTAAAGTAGTAACTACTACTTTAGTAACTTCTTATTAGTAACTTATTATTCTTATAGTAACTACTTATCTAGTGTGTGTTAGTGTCTGTTGGTGGCAAGATACTGGTCTTATTGTACTTTGTCTTTTTCAGTATGATGGAATTTATTTCCTGGACTTAGATTACCTAGTTCATGTCTCTTCATTTGTTTCATATAGGCCACTTGCTCATGTAACTTAGAAAATAGTGACAGTATTTTGATGTGGTTTCCATTTTGGCAAAAGGAAAAAAAAGTGTTATGTCTTGACACTGGCAAGGCTGTTGACATGATTATTAGTATATGAAGTGGAGAAATACAGATTACTCAATCACTATTGTATTAAATACACAACCAATGACAACCAGACTATAAAAATATTAAAAGAGACTTAGGAACAGCCTTCAGCTGTGGAATTGTGCAAAGACTTGAGATAAAGAAAACATTTCTAACTTTGAGGAGATTTATACACTGTAACAAGTTATCTGAGGATGTTGTAGAAACCATTTCATGAACATATTAGATTAGCCACCTCTCAAAGTCTAAGTATATATTTAGTCCAACTTCAAAATAGGGGGCTAGGTTAAATTATGTGTGGAAGTCCTGTCTATCCCTACATTTCTTTAGGCCTATTCTCTTTATTTTTGAGTCATACTGTTACTTTTTGCAGTATTATGTATAGGTTTTTTGATTTATGGTTTTTAGGAGGAGCACATTAATTTTCAGAGGAGTATGGAAATCGGAGTTAAACTTTGAAATAGCTACCTATATATCAGTTCATATCATCTTCACATTAATGTAAAAAAGGCAAAAATGTTATCTATTAATTGTTATATTACTACATTACCTTGTAATTCATAAATGCTGGTTCTTTTGGCATGCATATTGCAGTGTAATCAGTGAAGCACAAATAACTTCAGTCCTTGAGGTATTTGCAGAGTTCAGTGGAGTTGGAGTGGTAATTATTCTGTTTATTTTGCTTCTACAGAGCTGTATCTTCTGCAGACAGAGAATTAAGAAAATCTCTGGTGCCTGTGTTCAGTGTTCATGTGGACGCTGCCTAACCTCCTTCCATGTTACCTGTGCCCATGCTGCAGGAGTGCAGATGGAACCTGTTGACTGGCCACATGTTCTCTACATCACGTGTTTCAGGCACAAGATCAACAAAAATGCAGTAAGGAATTTGTTTCCTTATTTGTTAAAAGATGGAATTGCAGAATTAAAATATGATTCCAAAGAAAACAGAAGAAAGGATCCACACTATGTATTATAACTGCCCCATCTATCAAATTTCCATACATAGGAAACTATTACATCTTGAAGGTTTTTCCTTCTGCCATTACCTGGGCAAAATGATACTTGACGTGCCTAACACATTTTTTCATTAGAGTAATTGTTCAATGTGTTGTTTTGACAGCCAGAACAAATCTTTTAGTTTTCTTTTTTGTGTATTACAAATACCCAGATCACAGTACCTTGCAAATACTCACAGATACTGTGAGATAATAGATATAATGTATATATAAGTTCTTTGTTCCACAGCCAATGTCTAGCAAATATCCAATTATAATTATTCTGTCATCTGGCAAAGTAACACTGGTGTGTCATGAAAATTCATGTTATTACTGTGCCTTTGTATTTCTAGCCTGTACTGAGGAGGAACCTTTAATTTTAGATGAGACACATGAAGAATTAGTTTAATGTTTTTTATTTGAAAGAATTGTTACTATCTCAGTCAAGAGAGAACGCTTGCCATTTATCTTGGGCTTCTAAAACTGTATTTTGTTTCCTAGCAAACCAGAAGGATTTAATGTAGTCTTATTCAGGAAATATCTGAGTAAGTCAAGAATTTGCAAGGTGCAAACTTTTTGTCTCCTTTATAAATGACAAAAATGAACCCAGGTAATGTCTGTATAATATATGTCTTTCTTTCAAGAGGTTGTCAGTGAATCCTTGGTGTTAATGACAAGACTACTCAAGAGTAAGATTTTCTTTCAAGCGTAGTAAAATGTAATGCCTTCCAACTAGAGTAATCAGTCCTGAGTGTTCAATCTGCTGGTGGTTCTTAAAAAGGGAAACAAATTGTGTGTCCCTGTTTAAAACTTCCACAAACTGTTAATCCTTTAAAGATTTTTGTTTTCCAAAATTAATTAACATTTGAAAACAGTACATTTCATGTGATTTTAGTTTCTTCAGACATTTTTCAAGAAAATGGTTTGAAAAAGAAAGTTCTATCTGTAGAGGCAACTTAAGATACATTTCTTGACTTTCCTGGAAAACATTATCATTAGTTGAAAATAACTGGGTTAAAATCATGGCCAGTAAAAATAGGGCTGTTCTTCTCAGGTATTTTCTCTTATTTGTCTGGGACAAGCCGTTATACTGTAGCTGGAATTGCAACAGTAGCTAGGAAATCATTCCCTGATCAAATAGGGCTTTCTGCGTTAATACTTCTATTAGCACTTCATATGTATATTGTGGCCGCTTCCTCAGCTATGAGAATTGCAGAAGAGAAAGAAAAATTATGCTTTTGTCTTTTTCACAAAACTTGGAAAGATCAGATACTTTGTAAAAGAATCTTTTTCTGTGAAATTCTTAACTTACTCCTGAGACAAAGGAGATTGCCATATGTTTGTGTATGCTTGGTTTTATACTCTGTCTTGTGGATAATTAATCTAATCACATCTTTAAGCCTTTGGAAGTTTTTTCACCATTGGTTTTCTTGTTGTGCTTTTCTTGACTATTAGCTATTCTTTCATGCAGAAATTACATTACTCTTCACCATTACTCATAGCAACGTATGTTACTTCTAATGAACTTTTTGTTTGTTTGGTTTTTTAACTTCCTTGCTTGAAAGCAGAACAGGGGAATCATGCAGACTGATATATTATACTCACTGTGCAAATTTTTACAGGAGTCAAAACAAATTGTCAGCAAGAAAAAAAATATCTTCTGGTATTTAGCAGTTGAAAACACTGTGCATAAAACAAGGAGAGTATTACTGCTCCTCATTTTAAGGAAACAAAATTTAAATTATCTGTTTTTTTCACTAATATAGCCTGTAGATATTATGCCTAAATGCTCAGTGAATACATGTGATTGCTGCTTTCTTCAAGAGTAAAAAAAATGCCAAACAACCCAAATCTCAGCAACCAAAGGACAGCTTCTGGGCACTAAGAAAAATTGTGACATGTACCTATAGTGGTATTGTAATACGTAAATCAATGAGGGTGCTCAACAAAAAAACTGCCTATATACAGATGAATATGTATTATTACTGGTATTAGTGTATCTCCACCTCAGGCAAGGGCCTTTTGCAACGATGAGGTGAAGTATTTATCTGAATTACTTATGGCTGTGATCTTAAGCAAATTGTGCCCAGTATATTGTGAAATATACTTTCACAAGTGTTTTTCAAAAGATTCTATATTGTCTTCAGGATTTTTTCCCAGAATACTGTTTTCATGTCAACCATGAAAAACACTGGCAGGTCTTCTGATGAAAAATCATCAAAAAGACAATCAAAAGGGAAAGCATGATCCTTTCATCCATATAGTGTTGCTAAATGAAGTAAATATACAAATACTAAGAACTGGAGTTTTTAAATGTTGATGCAACTTTTCAAAAATATGTTCTGTGGAGGTCAATGAACTCAAAACTAAGCATGTATTTGCTGGAGGTACAGGTTTGGAAATAACAGAAAAAATTGCTAGCAGAAGAGTTGTTTAATACAGAATGGTTTTGATTATTCCTTTTTCAGCCTATATTATTTTGTTATGTAAATTGTAGTGTCAATATGCAAGGAAGCCTATGAGATTTATTGCTTACAGACAGTAGGTGATGTTTTTTTCATTTTTCCTCTTTGACTGTGCTTGTCTCTGGGCATGAAACATATTCCTTGCACCTTTTTGTCATCAAACTGCAAGAACATTGGATGTATGGTTGAGAATAGGTGCTGCAGATGGATTTGTTTTGATTAAAAGAAGTTTCGTACACAAGGAAATGAGAAAAAGACATTGCATGCAGCTATACTAACAGGAAAAAAAAAAAAAACACAGAGGAAAAGAAAAGACAAGGCTGGGGGTCAGAGAAAGCCAGCTGGAGGCAAACATGTACTCACAGGTGATGTTTCACTTGGAATATGTGGTAGATGAGGCAGCCCCGGTTACATGCATTTTGTCTTTAGAAGGGACAAAGATAGGAGTTGCAAAAATCCACTGGATAGGAGTTGCAGGAACCTACTGTTGTTGCTTTTTGAGCTATTTGAAATTATCTCCTGCTGTTTTTTGCCAGTTCTTACCTCTGTAGCACACAGGGAATGGAGGGATATGGTGAAATGGAAGCTGTAGATAGATTCTTTTTCTGTTGAACAGCCAAGTAATGCAATGTCATAGTTTGCCACTGTCTGCCAACTACTGCCAGCTCCTTAACATTTCAGAGAGAGTAAGGCATGCCTTAGGAAGGACATCGTATTCAAAAATCATGGGCCAACACATTTTGAAATGTTATGCATCATTTCTATGCCTGAATTGGAGTTCCAGGGAGTAAGATGATGTAATCAGAGTTATGTTCCTGTATCAAATGTCTCAGTATTTTGAGGATCTCCCATTAAAAATTATAGTCAGAGAAAGTTTCTAGATCTTTAGATATACATCAGATGCCTATTTCATGGTAGTTGTTATGGTTTCATGTACAAATAGCTTATATATTTTATTTAACAAGATTTTTGTGTCCTGCCATATAGACTATTAAGGAGAAAGTAATTTTCCCTCTTACCTTTTTGAGGTTTGTATACAGAATGGGAGATTTACTTTTTTCTTCTTTTCATCTGGTTGTTTTCTGTATTTTTGCTACTATCTTATTTCATCTGTGGCATAGGTACTCCTAAAGAAAATCATGCTTTTTAAACCACAGCTTTCTCAATAATCTGTTAACTACCACAGATGTTTCTTTAATCTGATAAACTCCCTTACATAACAACTGTCCTTTCTGATCAAAAATGACATTCTTAACATCAATAAATTCTTAAGATTTTCTGAGAGGAAATGTTTTCTGGGACATACAATCAATTACAGAGTGTACTTGTCAATATTTTTTCAGAGAAATAAATCAAGAGTCATACCAAGATAACATACTAAAAAATAATCTCTTTGAGCTAGGGTGCATTTCTGGTTTTTATTATTTATTCTAATGACCAATGGCATTTCTTCTCTGAAAATGTTATCATTAAATGAGCCTGTATTGTCTCTTAAAATATTATATTTTGCTTTCTATCTTCTCTGAATAGTTCCATCTGCAGGCTTTAAAATCATTAAAACCTTTCAATTAAGCTAGTTGTTCTTGGGCTTCTGTAATATCAAACTTTTCTGTTATATAAGTAAATCGATGAATACTCTCACTTGTGAACCACCCCCCTACCCCCACCCCT